TCTGAGAGCAGGGTTTTAGAGATACTGCAGGGACTGACAGGACTCCTACAGAGAGGGGCCAGGTATCAGGGAGGATGGGAGGAAGGAGGAGACTGGGAACTCCAAGGAAAGGAAACGGTGGGAAGGAGTTGAGGTGCATGTACACCAGTGCTAGGAGCATGGGTAGTAAGCAGGAAGAGCTTGAAGCCCTCCTGGGAATAGGAGGGTATGATCTGGTGGGAATCACAGAAACTTGGTGGGATAAAAGGCAAGTCTGGAATGTGAACACAGAAAGATATCACCTTTTTAGAAAGGACAGGAAGGGAAAGAGAGGTGGGGGCATGGCTTTATATGTCAGGGAAGGGATAGGCTGCAGTGAGATAGAATGCAGCACAGATGGGGATTCAGTAGAGGCAGTCTGGGTGAAACTTAGGGGTTTTGATGGGGAAAGAGACCTGACAGTGGGGGTATGTTATCGCCCTCCAAGTCAACTTGAGACCCTGGATGATGTCCTGACAGGCCAGTTTCTAAGGATATCTCAGGGGAGAGACACAGTAATTATGGGAGATTTCAATCTCCCAGATATTACTTGGGAGACTCACTCGGCCGTGGCAGCCAGGTCACGTCGCTTCCTAGAAGCTATTGAGGGAGCGTTTTTCACACAGAGGGTCCGAGAGGCGACGAGGGGGGGAAACATCTTTGACTTGGTCTTGACCGATAGGGAGGAGCTGATAGATGAAGTACAGATTAGGGGAGTTCTGAATGCGAGTGATCACTCCATCCTTTGCTTTGAGATCAGGGGACTGGGGACGTGTAGCAGGTTGAGCACTAGAAGCTGGGACTTCAAGAGGGCCAACTGAAGGCCAGACTGGGGAAAGTCTCCTGGGATAGGTTACTGGAAGGTAAGTGAGTTGAGGAGGGGTGGATAGCACTCAAAAGGGAGGTTTTGGAGGCGCAAGGCTTGACGATACCTCTAGTCAGTAAGGTGGGGAGGCTGAGGAAAGTGCTGCCATGGATGCAAAAGGAGGTGGTTAGAGGGATTAGACGAAAGAGGAACCTCCGTAGGAAATGGGTACTGGGACAAGTAGACAAAAGGGTATACCAGGAGGAGGAGGCCCATTGCAGAAGGATTCTTTACTAGGCTATAGCTGATTACGATCTAAGACTTGCCAAGAATATCAAGAGCAACAAAAAGGGCTTCTTTCAGCATGTAAATAGGAAGAGGAAGGGGAGACAAGTGGTGGGACCACTAAATAAGGAGGAAGGAGATCCAGTGACTGATATGAGGGAACAGGCACAGATGCTAAATGACTATTTTGACTTGTGTTCTCCCCAAAGCAGAACGGGGGATATCCGCATAGGAGATTAGATGAGGCTGGGGACTTAGGGGCACAGATTAGAGTCACCCCCCTTGAAGTCGAGGGGCTCCTCAGGGCAGTGGACATTACAAAGGCACCAGGCCCTGACGGGTTACACCCGAGAGTACTTAGTTGGCAGGGGTTCTCTCACTCCCGCTGGCCTCCATTTTTGAGACCTCATGGAGAATGGGTGAAGTTCCAGAGGACTGAAGGGTGGCATCAGTGGTCCCAATTTTCAAAAATGGTAGTAGAAAGGACATGGGGAATTATAGAGCGGTTAGCCTTATGTCCATTGTAGGAAAAACAGTGGAAAGTCTCATAATAGAGAGAGATCTAGTGATGCTAGATAGGGAAGGGAGGCTGACAGCCACACAACACGGCTTCCGCAAAAACGGGTCCTGCCAGACAAACCTTGTGGAATTCTATGACAAGGTTTTGAGATGGCTAGATGGAGGGGATGCAGTGGATGTTGTATACCTGGATTTCAGCAAGGCCTTTGACAAAGTGCCCCATGATATCCTGGTGGAGAAACTGAGGAGTTTTGGGATACACCAAAGCACTGTCCCACTGGATTAGGGCATGGTTGACTGACCAAAAGCAGAAGGTAACCATTAGCGGGGAATCATCGGGATGGCGGCCAGTGACAAGCGGGGTCCTCCAGGGCTCTGTCCTGGGGCCAATCCTGTTTAATCTTTTCATTAATGACATGGAAGAAGGGGTGAACAGTCTGCTGATCAAATTCGTAGACGACACTAAAACTGGAGCAGTGGCCACAACTGAGGAGCAGGTACTCCAGATCCAGAAGGATCTGGACAGTCTATGGAAGTGGGCAGGAGACAACAGGGTGGCGTTCCGTGTGGATAAGTGCAAGGTCTTGCACTTGGGGCATAGGAATAGGTGTCATAAGTACAGCTTAGGTGACAAGTGGCTGGAGAGCAGCACTTGTGAAAGGGACCTTGGGGTGCTGGTTGACTGCAGGCTAAACATGAGTCAGCAGTGTGATGCGGTGGTCAAGAGGGCGAATTCCACCCTTGGTTGCATAGCCAGAAGTGTGGCTTCTAGATCAAGAGAGGTATTACTACCACTCTACACGATTCTGGTGTGCCCGCAGCTGGAGTATTGTGTTCAGTTTTGGGCCCCTCATTACAGAAAGGATATATCCAGGTTGGAGTCAGTGCAGCGTAGGGCCACAAGGTTGGTGGCCAGTTTGCAGGGGATGAGGTATCAGGTATGAGGCGAGACTGAGGGAACTGGGTCTCTTCTGCCTGGAGAAGAGGAGACTCAGAGGGGATATGTTGGCGACATACAGGTATGTGAGGGGATGTCACATGGAGATGGATAGAGACCTGTTCTCCCCTGCAGAGGAAGGCAGGACGCGCTCCAGTGGAGCAAAGCTCAGGGAGCCAAGGTTCCGTTTGGATGCCAGGAAACACTTCCTGACAGTCAGGACCCCGAGGGTGAGGAATGGGCTTCCACGAGAGGTTTTTGAGGCCCCATCGGTGAGGGTGTTCCAGGATAGGCTGGACATGGTGGGCATGTTGTGAGCGGAGCCGGCTGGTGCCGGAGGTCAGACTAGATGGCCCGGGAGACCCCTCCTGACTCACTCTGTTTCTTTGTTTCTATGACTCTGCACCTTCACGGGCCTGTTTTGGGGAAGATTTTTCTAGCTAAATTCATTTTGGCAGGAGCCCCACCCATCCCCCCACAGTATATAAAGGTGGAACTCCTGCCATTTTCTGTAGTTCTTTTCCACCTGCTGTTTTTGGTACCTTGGGTCTGTTCGTAGCTTCTTCACTTTTCACCCAAACCTTTTAAAATCTACTTCTATTCTTTCAAAACTTCCAAAGCATCTGTTAGGAAATGTGTTTGCTGTGGAAGTCATCTCCCTTCCATGGATGCTCACCACCTGTGCCTTTTCTGCTTGGAAGAGGACTACCTGAGGCCTGGAAGAACTGAGTGGGCTGACTTAGACCCAGGTTGTGGAGCTGCACCCTTATGGCTGCTGACTAGGTATCAGTGCTGCCAGCAGAGCACACACCTACCACATGGGCAGCTCTTTTCTCCTGCCACCCATCTGCAGCCACTGGAGCATCACTGGGTGTCCCACCTCATCCTAGATCTGCTGGTTATGAAATGTTTCAACCCCCTTGAGAAGTTCTGCATGGTCTTGTGCAGGATCTTCTGCCACTGTTGTGCCACAGAGGCAGGTTTATCTCGATTGACAACATTGGGGTGAGGCTCAACCCAATGTTGGCACAGGCATGCCAGGCAGCAGACAGGACAGTGGCACTGATTGACTTTGCCTCAGACTCCTGGTTGAACCCACGATGATGATGCAGCAGGAGCAGTAGCTCCTGAGACGCAAGGTAGCAGCAACTGCAGCCATCCCTTTCACCAGGCTATGGATGCAGGCACTGCAGCTCTGGTTTGTGCATTTACTGACCCCAGCATGATTCAGCCCAGAAGCAGCTGGCACTCCTATATTCAGTTTGGGTGAGCTGCACTTAGTGGATTTGCTGACACACCCTAGCAGAGGAAGTTGCCTTTGCGCCGAAAGAGCCAGAACTGAGCCTGACTACAGACATACTGTGCCCAGGCTGGAGATTACACTGCGTGAGCAGTAGGACCCATGAAGTCTGGACAGATTGAGACTGGAGGGAATATGCAAACCAGTTCAGGATCCTTGTCATCCAGAAGGTACTGATCACATTTCACCTCTGCCTCAAAGACAAACATGTCCAGGCCACCATGAACAATACTACAGTGGTGTTCTACATGAACAAGCAAGATGGTGTGTGATACACATCTCAGATGTGCCTCACTTTGCACTTCTGGGACTGGTGCCTCAAGCAAATGAAGGGTTATCCCAGCGTATCGAGTACTATACAAGGTCATTGTTTTCTTTTAAAAGCAGGTGTCTGCTATTACTGTGAAGTTTCGAGGCCTTATATGATGTGAAGTTTTGGTGAAAAGGCTGAAAGTGCAGCATTGAACATGTTGCTTCATTCAGCCAATACTTTTCTAAACGAAGAACATGAGTGTTACCTCCATACCATAATTATGAGAGTTCAGAGAGGAGGAGAAATGAGTGAAGACATTGATTTGTAGGGACTGGTTTCTTGTACACCTGTTTTTATTAATCCTGTGGAGCTCACAAATCATATGTATCCAAGGAACCAGGAGCAGAGGTGTCAAACAGTGGTGCATTTTTGAGAAGTGGTCTTGTAAGATAGTATTTAAACTGTAACTATGACTCCTAAACATCCCTTTATGAGCTTTATGTCCTGTGCCTGAAACACTAGGCTGGTAGCCATTAGATTGTAAGAGTTTGCATGCCATTCATGGGTACATTGTATCTGGCTAGTTGTGGAAGATGGACTAGCATTCAGCCAGCAAAGAAATCAAGTAGGCTGCTGCAGGATGGTTGGTGAACATGAGATGCTTTTTCTAAGTAAGTGTTGAAACTTGGTACTGAAGCAAGATAATTCATAGTGCACTGAGAGTGGGCAGAAAAATAGATTCCCAGCTGTTAAAATTACAACAAGCAGCATTCCTGATCATTGGCCATGTTGGCATGGGCTTCTGTGAATGGAAGTCCAAAACATCTAGTGATCTGTCTTCTGCTTATTTCTGTAGTAGACTCCTGCAACAGATTAGTTCGTAGGTGTGAATGAATACCTTGAGCATCATGTTGTTATGTTTTGGAATGTAGAGACAACCCGGGATAACTGGGACACATTGCAGTCTTTTCTCTGTCTAAACATGCATAGGATTGTATTTTTAGCTAATGTCGGATGGGAACAACTACTTTTGCTTCTATTATGTGTCAGTGTTCTAGTCAAACATAAAGAGCATAGTGTGCATGCACATAATATGTCTCTTATTTGAAGAATTATGCTACATGCATTCCTGAAGAATTTCTATTTGACTTTTCAAAGTAGTATTTACTTGTAGAAGAGAATGTAGAATTCAGCTTCCATCCACATTAGAGCTATTGGATAGCAGCTGTAGAATACAAAAAAAAGTCTGATTATAACATTAATATACCGGGGCAAGGTTTAGCAGTTAAGATCTTGAAAGAAGCTTGTCCTGGGAAAAAAACAAAAACAAACCTCCAGCAGTTCTGAAGATGATGAAATGGGGAGTTTAATCAATCTATGTTATTATGCACACCAGGTATGATTCATAAAGCAAATCGACATTTGTTTAGCAGCCCTTACTCTTCATTGCCACTGGAAAAGGTTCAGGTGTGAGATAAGTTGAAGGCTGTGATTCTAAGTAAACTCCATCAGTATGCATTGAACTTGCTTCCAGCTAATGAAGCAAGGACTACAGTTAAAGAATAGAAGATTTATTTACATCTACTTACTGATCTATCTGTATACACAGAACTTTGCTCAAAGGATAGAAAATTATTTCCAGGTAAGGGCTTTAATTTTCAGATGTTGTTAATCATATGTGCTAATATTTTTGTGAGGCAGGGACATGAGTTAATCTGTTCTCTTTTTGGTTAGGTATCACAAGCTGGGAACTGGATTCAACCCCAACACATTAGATAAGCAGAAGGAGCGGCAGAAAGGTCTGCCGAGACAAATCTTTGAATCTGATGAAGCTCCGGATGGCAACAATTACCAGGATGAACAAGTAGTGTATTTTATTGTGCCCTCAAGTCCATATTGGCAAAAAAGTATGTCACAGATGTTTCATCTGATCATATTGCAAACTGCTTTTAATTTCTTCAACCCCAGGATGACCTTAAAAGACGGTCTATGTCAATAGATGATACACCGCGGGGGAGCTGGGCTTGCAGTATTTTTGACCTAAAAAACTCCCTCCCAGATGCTTTGCTTCCAAACCTCCTGGATCGAACTCCAAATGAAGAAATTGACCATCAAAATGAGGATCAGAGAAAGTCCAACCGGCACAAGGAGCTTTTTGCTTTGCATCCAGCCCCGGAGGAGGTACTGTCAGGATGTTTGAGGCTTGCACATGCCTACCCTCTTCCTGAGTGCCATGACACAGGCACCATTTCTTCTTTAAATATGCTTCTTTTAGAGAAATCTGGTTGGTGCTTCACTGTTATATTGGGAATATTAGGAAACTTTGTATTTCAGAAAGCAAAAAAAAGAAAGTAGAAAGAGGGAAGGAAGATCTACTACAACCTTCCTTGGCTTCTGAGTCTTTCAGGACACAATTTTATGCATTTTTTAAAGAAAAAACCCAGCATTCCCTAGCCAGTATCCTGGGAGCTTTATGACTTTTTATGGCTAAACATGCATAGGATTGCACATAAGGCAGCATTCCTATATCTCCTTACTTGAAAATAAGCACTGTTTAACTCAGCAGGGTGTATATTAGTGTAGAGATGCATAGGATTTTACTGGGCCTGCCGACATGTTCTCGTGCACTTCTCTGCAGCTACGGGGGCTTGGCTTGAAACCTGAAGCTACTTGATTGACTGATCAGATTCTACCACATTCCATGATATTTTGTGTGTTTGCCACAGTATTGGTTTTAGGCCGTTGGGATCTTTTGGCTGCAAGTGAAAATGTAGAGCAAGTACAATTTGTGGCACTTCAAATGGTGACCTGCACATGGGAACATCAGCTTTAGCTCTCATAACCAATGCTGAAAAATAATGAGAGTCATAGGCCAAAACAACAGAAGGGCTGCAAGTTTCCAGTGCCTGGTGTGGGGGAAAGTCTGTTTAACCAAATATATTTAAAGATATGAAGCACAACATTATCTGTCTGTTATTGCTTCTATCAGCCAGCTGTTAAAGTTTTCTGAATTAGTGCATGATAAAAGCACAGATGTGGAGCTTTGAGCATTGTCTTCCAAGACATTTTCTTTACGGAATTCCAATCTGTTGTTATGCTGCTATCTTAAATCCTTTCACTGTTGTTTATAGTTACAGCGCATGCTACTGCAGTTAAGATAAATGTATGCATGTTTTAAAAGGTGGGGTGGGTGGGGCAAAATCTATTTTACCTTCAGCTATTTAATAATATGCTTGTTTGTGGAAGTAGTGCATACATTACTGAGCAGCTGGGTTTGTTGCCAATTCCAGGAGGAGCCAATCGAAAGGCTTGGCATTCCTGAAATCCCCAAGGAACACTTTGGTCAGAGGCTTCTTGTGAAGTGTTTGTCTTTAAAGTAAGTATTGATTTAACTGAGAAATTTGCACAATGCCAGATCCTACTTGTCTTTACCTATCCACATATTCAAATCCACATGTATCTTGTTACTTAGGCTGCAAGCCTATATGAATTTACCTGGGAGTAAGGCCCTATTGAACCAATGGGACTTACATCTGAGTAGACTTGTATAGGTTTGCATTGGTAAAGATGTGGCTTTGTACGGATTAAAGGCATAGATCAAATAGCAGAACACTTCAGGCTGCTAGGTCTTGTGTGCATGAACTTTTTCAAGTCTTGTACAAATATTGATTGGAAGCAACAGTAGGTCATTGAGTGGAGCAGTCTACTGCTCCAACTTTAAGCCTTAACATTTCTGTGGGAGAAGAGCTTGATTGATCTCTCTCACTCTGTCAAATAGTAATAGCAGCCAAAGAGAATGAACAGTCTGATTTATCCTATATCAAGAGGTTTATAGTAGCCTGTCTGACTGCCAACTATTGATGTGCACCTCAGTGCCAGTGGCTTTTGTGCATAAAAGGGCTATCCAAATGGTGGGGGCACTGGACCAAAGATTGTAAGACTAGTCATGTTAGTTTATGAGGCAGGTGAGTAAGCAACAAAGGGACCATATGATAGAAGTTTATAAAATTATGCATGGTGTGGTGAAAAGTAGAAATCTCTCATGGTCCTTGAACTCAGAGCTCGTCAATAAACCTATTTGACTTGAGATTCCAGATAGATAAAACATTCCACACAGGGAATGTAGTTAATATATGGAATTTTCTGCCGCAGGATGTAGTAATATTAACTAGCTTAGATGGCTTTACTGTGGATTAGGAGGAGAAATCTTTCAACTGCATCTAATATCCAGCTGCTCTGAACACTGTTTGGTGGAGAACAGATAGGCCTTGGGGTAGATAGACCTTTCATCTGATCCAGCAGGGCTTGTCTGCTGGATCAGATCAGGGAGCCAAGGTTCAATTTGGATGCTAGGAAGTGCTTCCTGACACTTAGGACCCCAGAGGGTATGGAATGGGCTTCCATGGGAGGTGGCTGAGGCCCCATGGGAGAGGGTGTTCGAGGATAGGCTGGATATGCACATGATAGGCATGTTGTGAGTGGAGCTGGCTGGAGCTGGGGGTCAGACTAAATTTGCCTGAGGCGCCCCTTCTGACTCATTCTGCTTCTATGTTTCTTGTGTAGAGCAACTTGGACAGGTCGTGTGCTCAGAAACTAGTAATTCTAGATGATCCAGTGGAATACCAGCTCTGCAGAAAGCCAGCTTTTCCTTTTGAAGAAATAAAGCTCTCTCGGCCATTCAAGGAGGTTAAGGCTGTCAGTGGTTACTAGTCTTGATGGCTATACGTATATTATATTCAACAACAGAGGCAGTCTTATTGGGAAACAGCTAGGTGTGCACATTTGCATTTATGTTCTATTGTGAGCTTCTTGCAGGCAGCTGGTTGACCAATGGTTGAACAGAATGCTGGGCTTGATAGACCATTGGTCTCAGTCAGCAAAGCCACAGTACAGCAAGCTGTCATTCCTAGAAGTTGTGTATAATAGAAAGCAAATGAATGTGCTTTATTTCCACTTAGAAGGATGATTTCCCCCTCCCTGCTGCCCCCAGCAACTCTATTTTGCCCCCTGCGCAAAGGAAAATTGGTTTTACAACAAGCAAATACAACCTTTGCATCAGCCTTCTCCAACTTAGTGCCCTCTGGATGTGCTGGACTGCATTTCCCATGAGTTGTAGCTATACAAAATTGAAGGCCACTGAGTTGGAGAAAGCTGCTCTGCAACAGCAAGCAGACAACTGACAAAGTCAAATCTTAAGCTGGAAAAGCCTGGCTGTCTCTTTAAGATTTGAGACTTGAGGAAGTTAGCAAAGCTTTCACTGGGGAACAGAGAAACCTGTTAAACAAGTTTAATGAAGTGGAGCTCCTGAATGTAGGGTTACCTGCAGTTGGTTCATTGCCTATAACTCTTCTCTAATAACATGAGGTAAAATTTTACTGGTATTCCCTTAGAGAAATAAAACACAAAACTGATTTTCCACATGGCTGTATTCATCTTTGTGTCCTCAGTTAGGTCAACCCTTCTTGTTAGGAACCTTCAGTTAGACTGGAGTGACTCTCATAACTGAGATATATGTGGAGCTTGTCTCCTTGAGGGAAACTGCTTTACATCCTGACACTAATCCAGATGATTCTGTGGCCTTTTCTTTTATTGTAAGACCCTATACCCAGATGCAATACTAGAAGATTTTGCCTGCAGTGAACAGCTGTGTAGAAGGAATTAAATTGTTTTTACAAAACTCTCTTCATATTGGATCTGAAGAAGTAATGTTTGTCTTCAACATACAGGGTTCACATGTAGCTTGTGGTGCTATTTCAAGAAGGACTCTGAATTACATTAGGTGACTAGGAGGATAAATGACAAGACTACAGTAGTTTAAAACCATCTGTGGTGATTTTGGGAACCCTAAGGCTCATGTGTTGTTATTTCCAAGTTTTCTGTTCCCCTTTTCTTGAAATAGTCAATATTAAATAAGACAATATAAAATACAACAATGAGTTGTAGTACAACACTTATAGTACAAAACAGAGAAAAATCATCCAACGACATAGTTGTGGTAACTGCCAGCAGAGAGTCATACTTCTTCATGCAGTCCATAGGAGCTGTGAAATAACCTTGCTATTGTTTAATCATGTTAATGCTTCCTGATTCATAAATAAACAAAATCAGTCTTTTCCTTGCTTTGCAGATTTGAAATTGAAATAGAGCCAATTTTTGCAAGCTTGGCACTGTATGATGTTAAAGAAAAGAAAAAGGTGAGTGATTTTACTTTATGCTTACTTTTTGCCATGGGCCGTGAATAGTCTGCAGTAAGGCACAGGGAGATCATAGTGCTTAGAACTTGTAAGATTCCACTGGAATACTGTGTTTAGTTTTTTGTCATCATAGTTCAGTTAGACAATTGACAAAAGCTGAATAGATGGTAAAACAATATGTACATTAAAACATACACTAGATCAGTCAAGATCAGTGGTGGTAAGCCTGTGGCCCTCCAGATGTTGTCACACCCCTGTCATTCTGTCCCCTTGACCTTGTTGACTGGGATTGATGGGTTACTGGAGTACAACATCTGGAAGGTTATAGGTTGTCTATCCCTGTCAAGAGATTGTCAGCTTGTGTCACAAGCTGTTATCAAAGATCAACCATAGCTAGTGTACCAGTCAAGGCTGAAAAAGGTATTCTTGACCATAACAGCTCCCAAGGAATCCAGGTCAATCCTCTGTCTAACATTACCTGTCAACTGATCAGGGGAAAGGCATCCAAAAGAGAGGGACCACCAGTTCTCAAGGCAATTGGCTCTCACTCATCAGCATCTTTATCCTTTAAGGATTATGCCTCAGTTAAAATCTTCTGTGACCGGTTTCTACTAATTGTAATCTATCTCTGTTCAGTTGCAAATTACATTCTATTGACATCTAGAGAAGAGGGAGATAAAAACAATAGTCTGTTCTCAAAGATCGTTTTTCAGGAATACATGATACATAGGTTAGGGAAAGAAAGATTTTGTGTAGCCACTGACAGAGGATTACAAAACACCATGGTGAGGGTGACGAGTGGAAATACAGACCCTTTGGCTGTACATGATGTTTGAGTATATCAGTTTTACAGCCATTTTTTGATCCTGAGACTAAGAATTTATTTAAAAAGAGGGTTAACATCCATCTGTCAGCAGCTACTTCTGGCACGGCCAGCCCAGTAAAACATTTTTAAACATTTTGAACTCAGATAAGTGTTTTAAACGGTTTACTGGGCTGGCCATGCTTGGAGCTGCTGCCAGCAGATGGATGTTTAGAAAATATGGGAAAAGACCAAATTGTATAAGTCTCAGGATTGCAATCCCTGCTCTGCCTTTTTTAAAAATTTATTCCATCTCTCCAGTATGTTTAACATTTGTAACTGATTTGGGTATTGCTTTATTCAGATTCCTCAGTTTTGTGTGGCTAAATAAAAATGGATTACAGTGTTTTGAAATAGACTGCCGTGTTACTTCATTCATGTTCTCTTGTCTCCTGTGACATTTATTTGAGCATACAATGTGCATAGGTAGATTTGCATGCAGGGAAACTGCTACAACAATTGTAGCATTCTAGCAGGCTTGCAAACTATATTTTGGCACAGTGTCAGCAACCATCTGTAAAAATGCTATCCGTGCAACCAGATGGAAAAATGATAGTATCCCACAAAATATTTTATTTTCCAAGCTGTCAGCTTGGTCCAGAGCATCCTATTTCCAATTCAGTGCAGTTTCTGCACATGCAAGAATGGTATATCCAGGAACCACTATATTTGATTATCCACTGGTCTCGTGGATTGGGTACAAATATCTGCAATAGCCTGTAAATGAAAACAATTGGATGCAGTGCTGGCTAGGTCACTTTGAACTTTCACAGTTATTTCCCAGTAACTAAAAATAACCAAATAGTTGTAGTGTTTGTGCTAATATGGCTTATTTGGAAAATTATACTCTTAATATTTTATATTTCGTGGTTTGATTTTAAATTGATACAAGAAATTTTTACACTCACATATATATGGTCTGATGTGTGCAATATAAAAAGTATTTCATCTTATTGACATCTCAGCCTCCTTGGTTTTTGTCTGCTATAAACAGTTACCTTATTTAGCATGCATCATGAACTGCTCTAATGTTTTTAAATGTTGTATTTAGTGAAGATCTCAGTGGCTTTACAAAAAATTAAAAAAATCTACAACTAGCTGGTACTTTCTTTTAGATTTCAGAGAATTTCTATTTTGATTTAAATTCGGAACAAATGAAAAACATGTTACGTCCTCATGTCCCACCTGCTGCCATAACTACGCTGGCCCGCTCAGCCATCTTTTCTATAACATACCCCTCTCAAGATGTCTTTCTGGTAATAAAGGTAAGATATTGCTTTCTCGTGTTTTTAGTATTATAGAGGAAGAAAATACTGATAGTGGCCAAACCATACAGTATACTAATCATGCAGTAACTGAGTCCAATGTGGTATCATGGATGGAGTGTTGGACTGGGAACCTGGGAGTTCTGGATTCTAGTCCCCATTCAGCCATGAAACTTACCAGGTGTTTTTGGGCCAGTTACTCACTCTCAGCCTAAACCACCTCGCAAGGTTTTTGTAAGGATAAAATGGAGCTATGTAAGCCACCTTGGTTTCTTCACAGGAGACAAATAGATGGGCTGTAAGTGCACTGTAATAGTTTATTATAGTGCAACTGTGCAGTCTTCCACTGATGGCAATGCATTTCAGGAAAAAATGGTCGTTGAATCAGCTGCTCTGGGAGTGTTCTCATCCTGATCCAAATTGGGGCAAAGGCTGTCAAGCTCAGTAATGCACTAAGCATTAGTACAATATGTTACTTGCCTCTAAGGCTTGTACACCAAAGCCCAGTGTTGTAACACAGTGTGTTATCAGCCCATGCAATTCATTTCTGCAGCACGTCAATATGACCCACTAACACAATATTTTAAATACATGGAGTTAGGTCCAGATTTAGTTGTAGTTAGACTAGGACTTGCTGGAATCATGGGACTTTAGTTAATAAAGTTCCTTCGGTTTCAGTGGATTGACATTCAGTATGAGTAAGCATTTAAAAAACAAACACTGCACAAATAAAATTAATGATTAATAAAAAGAGAGAATGAGAGCTTCAGTATATAATATATTTAAAATATGTAACTAATAGCTTGTAATGAGAGAGGGGGTTTGGCAAATCCAAGTAACTCTGAGAAGTTGTAGAGAGTCAGTCACCTTTGGTAAGGAGATCTGAGTGCTATTAGACAGAATGCAATGTTGGGAGTTTATTTTAAAAGTCATTGGAATATGTGATGACCCTATTAATAATATTTTAGTTATTGTTTTGTAACCCTATCCTCTTCCATAGTTGAGATTACACAAAAACCTACCTGCCCAAACTATCCTAAGAATGGGCAAGTTTCAGACCTTGATTCCCCTTTCTGTGAGGATGCACCATATGCAAAACTATAAACTGATTCAAATAAAAGAAACAAAATAGTTTGGCTAATTAGAACTGAACAACAAATAATATATTCCCATTATAGTATACCAGTACGGTAGGCAAATGTTAGAAATCCTTAAAAACATTTAATCTCTGTCCAAAAAAATTGCTGTCCGGTTGACAAGGCTTTCTTTCTTTCTTGCTTAGCCTTGGCACTGAACTCTTGAAGACAGTTATGACAGGAAGGCAATACCCTAGCCTGGGACATCACTTTGTAAACTGAGTTCTTGTGAAAGAGCTTCCTGATGCCTTGGGAAATCTGTTAAGATTGAGATTCACATTACATTGTCCCAAATTGCCCAGGCAAGAGGGAAGGCTCATTGACAGCAGCATTAGGAGGATATTCTGTTCTCAAATTTTGCACACGTCTCATTGCATAGTTCCTGAAGCCAGAATCTACATGTATTCACAGTAGTTGATTTTTACAAGGTGAAAGAGAAAAAAGATTAACACCATGCAGCTGAAACCACATCTTTTCACTAAAAGGGCTTGTGTTTGCACATTAATGCTTGTAAACCCAATGAGATGAGCCTATCTTGCAGCCATTTCTTGAAAATGGTAGTTAGATTGTACTCTGTGAGAAGGAAAAGGACATGAACAAGGTAAATAGCCAGAAAAAATAGCTTGTAGTATGTCACAGATGGGGGTTGCCACTTACGTAAATTCTGCATTCACCTCTTTTCCTGAGTTATGTTGCCTTAAACCTGTTTTTAGTATAATCTGGAACCAAATGAGATACTGGATAGCATGAGAATTTTTGTTGTAGATGTTTTGACTTCTAAAACCTGACTGTAGTAACACTGATCTAGTGCTGCATTCTTGCTCAATAGATTGTTGGTGCTGTTAGACTTGGCAGTACTATCTGTGCTTTTAATGCATGAGGGTAGGAAGGAACTGTCCCTATGGATAGATGGAGACAGCTTGGGCAGAACTCAGTCCCTACCCTTCTTAGAGATAATCAGTGTTAACTGCAGCTGAGCCTGCTGACCATTTGTTTGATATTTGGAGAATATGTGCAGGGGAGTTACTTTGCCTGTATATTTTCATATCTAGCAAAAAGTATACAGGCAAAATCCTATTTCCTTGGCCACATCACCTTGCTGGGTTGAGGTGACTGGATGTATTTGGTTGTAGGAACATGTGTGTTTTTCTCCTTCCTCCTTCAGCATGTTTAGTTTCTTCATCCACTGTGAGATATTGAACTGTTTGCAGAGTGGGATGAGAATTCCCCTTCTCCCTTTTATATCAGTTCCTTGGTTTTTTTGTGCCCTGCCCATCTTGTAAGAATGCTATTTTGACTCATGTCTGTTGAAAGGCAATCTCATTCTTAATGAGTGTCGCATTACTTTTAGCTGACAAACTGGATTGTGCAAACAAATCTTGGGAAGTGCAAATGCCAAAAGATAAGAAACAAGCCATCATCTCAAAGCCTCTATCTCCATGTTTTAAAATTTTCCTCTCAAAGAAAGACAACTACAGAAAAGCCTTCTCGAGGATTTATTTTTGTTCATCTTACCCCAAATGTTTAATGGTATGCAACCAAAGTTACTTGAAGGATCATCAGTAGGTCTGATGCAGCAGGACCCTTTCTGTCTGCTCCAGCATTCATTTCATATAGTAGTGTGCCAGCTGCCTGGGGGAAACCTGCAAATAGGAAGTGAGTGCAACAGCATCTTCGCAAATGTGTTCAGCGACTGGTACAAAGAGGAATACAACCTCCAGTACTGGCAGTATATAGCCATCAAGGCTAATAGTTTTTTATTACTTTTTCTCCATGAATGTGTCTAATTGCCTTTTAAAGTCATCAAGTTGGTGGTCATCACTCCATCTTGTGAAATCAAATATCACTTTTTCTATTTTTACTGCACTCTGTGTAAAAAAAAAAAAAAAATCATCCTTTTATTTGTACTGAATCGCCTACCATTCAACTTCATGGGATGACCCCAGCTTCTAGTATTATGAATGTTTTCTGTGCCTTGTACACACTTGACCAAAACCACTCTTTCTCTTTTATGTCTCCAGTTTATATGGCTGTCCACAAGAGGAAGATGTGGAATTTAAACTTCACATGTGTGTGTATTAGTTCAGTTGTTAATATGTTGTTTGTGCCTCCAGCATCACGCTTGCTTCTTTGTTTCCATCCCATCTCTGTAGTTGGAAAAGGTATTACAGCAAGGAGATATTGGGGAGTGTGCAGAGCCATATATGATTTTAAAAGAAGCAGATGCTGCAAAGGTAAGCCATTTGCATTTTTTAAATTAAATGCCAGGTGTCCTTTTTACAGAGTTGTGTTCATTTGCCAGTTTGGTGCAGTGAAGAGAGTATTGAGTCTGGCGGGAGGTCCATTTCATGGCCTGCATCCAGTGATGCTCATTCCACTGATTGAAAGCAACTACATGTGGATTTGGGCATATGGCAGTTTCTAAGAATCCCCCCTCTTCTCTGCACCTGTCCCATGGGTTTTCCATCTTTTCAGAGCAGATCTGGAGTGATGGAGGATGCAAGGGGAAAAGGAAAAATCACCAAAAATGGTCTTACTATTCCACTGGCATACACTTCCAGCAACATAATAACCATATATAGGATTGGATATAATCCCATATATACACCACCTGTTGTCTGGCCTTGGGTAAGACATTGGGCATGATGTCAAACCATGTGTGCTGAGGTGTGATCAGGTCTTTGGGTTGTATACTTCCTTCCCTTATTTGATTCATGCCTCCCTGTGCTTGATGCTACATAGTAAACCATGTGTTACATTTTCAGCCTATGGTTTGTGTTTGCCCTCCAGAGCAGAATTGTACATTACAGTCAAACTATAGTGTGAAATTCTTTTATCCCAAGGTTTAGTCATGTAGTTTCAAGCCATGTGATGTATGTCAAACCATGTGAACTGAGATAATGTGCAAGTTAAAATATAATGACCTTGGTCTAATAAATCATTGTTTATTAGGGAATAACTGTTGTGAATTTCCACTGCCTTCTCTTGAACACTGAAGCTGTAAAACTTCTAAATTAGTTTTCCTTATTATATCAACTTCAGTTTCATATATTTAGTTCAAGATTGAGCCCCATCTTTTCAGTTTGAATATAATGAGAAACTGGCTTAACAAACCATTTTCAAGGGTGGCATACAAGACAAGGGAGAAGAATTGATGTAGGAACAGTTGCCATTCTTGTTGAATAAACCATGGATTATTGTTTTTAAAAATGTTCCTTGTCTTTCCTCTGTATAGTTGTTGTGAGGATACATTTAGATACATTGTCATTTTTTTCTGAGCTTTTAGCAGAAGATTGTAAAGAATGCTAAATAAATAACAGTAATATCTGAACCTGCTTTGCTTTTTACCCTGCAGCAGCCTCCATTTGTTTGGCAGCAGCAAATTATTTCCCTGTAGCTAAATGCCGCTTGTAATTATTTAGCAAGATAGTTCAGGAATTCCCTTGAGTTCTATTACTGCCTCAATTGCAGATTCTGTGATTGTCACTTTCACCCACAGGCAGGGCCTTTTGTACAAGCAGACATATTTAAGCCATTTTAAGTGGGGGTGGGGGGTGGGGGTTAAGACTTTATTACATTATTCAGCAGAATAGTAGAAAAGGTCTTTAATTAGGGTAAGAACAGATCAAACACTTTAGCAAATTATAGCTGAGTTTTCTCCCCTTTCTCTAGCTGCCTACCAGGGATGATGATGATGATAACCTTTATTACTGATGAGTTTTAGCTGGTGAACATCCTTAAAACACTTACAGTTTTCTTATATTTTTGTTATACATAGTTGAACAATATCATTCTGTGGAAAACCGCAATTGAAATGTCGTTAATACTAGAAGGCAGCATTGATGTTTCAAAACTGTTTGCATTTTATGAGCTTGAGGTTTTTTCTTTTGCAGAATAAGGAAAAACTGGAAAAGCTGAAAAGCCAGTCAGAACAATTTTGCCAAAGACTTGGCAGGTATCGTATGCCTTTTGCCTGGACAGCCATTCATTTAATGAATATAGTCAGCAGTGCTGGAAGCTTGGAGAGAGACTCTGCAGAAATGGAAATTGCCACTGGAGGTAAGTGTCCAAATATGTTGAGTGCAACTTAATCTTGAAGCCAAAACTGCATATGGTATTGTTAATGCTTTTTAAAAGTAACCAAGTCAGACATGTTCCTCTAAGACCATGAATAACATCATTTATAGTTTGATCCTTAGGTTGTTCAGAAATGTGAAGTGTGGGACATGTGGGTAAACTGTATAGTGCTTCTTTGTCAAAATCTTCTGAAACATGGAAAGCTTTCTGTAGTTCCCTAGCATCTTAGCCTTCCTCATGTCAGGCACTTTCAAATGAGCCTACACTTCCTTTGTTCATTTCGGGGTGGTACAGTCTAATGATGTGCAAATTTGAAAAACACAAGATCATTGAAGTGCTCCAAATTGCCCCCAAAACTTGTTTCAACTTGTATCTATATCAGATTGCAAGATTTTCTTCCTTTGCCATCTCATATATGAGAGCCTTTTTGTGTGCAGTTCCCCATATTTGTCCTTCAAGTTGTGAGCATTTTTGAAATGGACCCCTTTTCTACCACTGATTTTTTGTGGGGGGTTGTTTGTGCCTTTTGTGCTTTACCTTTCAAGCCATCTTGTTATTTCCTTCTGTACCATCTAGAATCCCCTTCGTTAAGTTTAGATGGATTACTATCCTTTAACCCTATAAAGTTGTTCTTACGTTCTTTTGGATTGGGGCTGTTGCACAATATATAGCAGCTTGTTTTGCCTATTCTTTCCTTTGTTGACTCCTTGTAATATGAGTGAAATGAAAAGGACATGCCTGTAATAACAAAGAGGTTTATTTTTCAAGGATTTTACTCACAAACCATCTGTTATGCTTTACAAAACCAGGCTGCTAAGTATGTTAGTATGTTTGAGGCTGATTTTCCAAAGAGCTGGATTAATCACTGTGGACTGCACAGCTCATCTAAAACTGCTATTCAGCATGTCCCCCACCCCAAAGCTGTCAACTTTATCATTTTTTGTGGCTGGAGAAAAGCATAAATTTCCACTTGATAAAGACTTTTATAATAGGCTCAAGGCACTGGGGTGCGGTTGCTGTGAGAGGAGCAGAGAAATTTGGCCGTGCTTCATGATTTTCTAATGCCTCAGGAGTACGATTGTCTTGGCATAGCCACTTTATTCTATCTTGCTTTTCCTGTGATTTCAGACTAGTCTTAAAATAAATGTTGATTATTTGCCTTTTGTTTTTATTTTCCCTGTTTTCTTTTTTTTAAAGAACGCAAAGGATCTTGGTCAGAAAGAAGGAATTCTAGCATTGTTGGCAGGCGTTCTTTGGAAAGGGTCACTAGTGGGGATGAGGCCTGCAACCTGACTAATTTTAGACCAGCTACTCTCACAGTGACAAACTTCTTTAAACAGGTATTCAGTGGTTTACACTCATGCTGGCATTGTGTTACAGTCACGATTTTAGTTCATGCTTAATGGAGTCACCTGGACTTCTAGAAGGTGAATGTTCATGACTTGAACAAATAATCTCGGCCAAGCAGAGCTCCATTAGACCAGTCTAGAGCTTAATCATTGTCTGCATTGATACATAAATGTGGGTCAGCTTTGTTCTTCCATTTTGCCATTCTGGTCCATCCATTTCTTATCGTGCTGCCAAAATACAGAATGTGAGGTGGAACCATTTGCTGGTTCCACCATTTGCTGGGCTAACATAAATCATCCAAGGTAAGGTTAAAGAATGAGACCAATGTAACTGTTACTGTACTTCATAGGATTATACAGGGGAGCCGGTGTGCTGTGTAGTTAGATTTTTATTGTAGTGTTAAACTAGATCTGGAAAAAGCTGGGTTCAAATTTTCACTAGTATGTGTTTGCTGGGTAACATTGCCCCAGTCACTGTCTAAGCATAAACTACTTCAGAGAATTTTATAAATAATGGAAGGGAAAGAGAGTTTCCTTGAGCTGCATGGTAGAAAGGCAGGATACAAATATAGTCATAGCAATAACAAGTTTGGAAAGGAGAATCAAGAGTCTTTAGGCTGAGGCTAATGTAGGAGAATCAATACACAGTAGAAACACACAGTAGCTGTTTGGCATTAGATCTGAGTGGGAGAATAGGTGTGGAGCAGAACAGAAGTTCATGTCTAGAGACCTCACTTTCGAGTAAGTTAAGGTTTAGGAACATTACACAGGTACATGGTTTGTACCTCAAGGTGTGAGTTTCGACATACTTTGAACATACGGGATGCAGGCAAATCCAAGAACTAGGAGTCATTCGGAGATGTGAGTTGTAGTAATCTTTGTAGATATTATGCAGGATTTGGCTTGTTATGCATGCAGCAAGAAGCACTAAGGGGCAATTTCCCTGTAGGACTCCTTGTTGCAGTGGTAGTCACCATATCTGGGCCATGGTGGGGGTGCAGCACAGCTTCTAGCCATGTGCAAACCTGGTGAGGGTGGTTCATTGGGGTCATTAATAAGCAACCACTGTGACTGTAATGACTGCCACGTTCACAACCAAGTAAATATCTTGGCCTATAGACATGAAACATCTCAACTGATATTTCACTTCTCCTTGGTTTTCACAAGAAGGCAGATCAAGAGTTTTTGAAAAGAAGGACTTCACAAATGAATACCCATAAGAAGCATGGAAGAATTTGAACATGCGTATTTTCAACAGAAAATTGTGTTTTCTTTAGATGAAATTCAAAAGAGTTTCAAAAACCTTCTGTATTAGCTGTGAACCTGAGATTACTAATCAGTAGGCTATTTTAAAAGAGAGGTTATTTTGGCAATTGTTAAATAATGTAAAAATTTATTAAGACTATTTTTGCTGTTAGCTCGCCAGCTGCTAAAGACACTACATTTGACCTAAAATTATAATTCCCAATATGTTTAAATTGTATAGCATATTGAAAATCCAGTTTAATCATGTATATTTTTAGGTTCAGTCATGAATGAACCTAAACAAGAACCATGAATTATTTTTTCATTACTAGAAAATAGCTGTAAAAGTAATCACTTGAACAGAATAGAAACTGGAATTTTTCAAGTAGTGTGATGCAGTCTTATTTTGGGGAAGAAGAAAAGAACTAGATAAATCCACCTAACTCCCTGAAAATACTGATCCTTTATTATTTTTCATTAAGGTTGTCAGATTGACATGTATGCCAAAAGGAGTATCACACATTTTAAAAAGGCTGCATGGCTCTTCCACTTACAAACTTCTGGTAAATCATAGGGTTGGAAGGTACCCCAGAGATCATCAAATCCAAGAATTCATACTCTTACTATGAATATAGCATAACTGAAAGAGTGAGTTCATCTCAATCATAACATGTAAATGCTTTTTTTTTTTAATAATGAGGGCAGTTCTTCAAAAACTTGGAATATAAAGATGGGTGATAAGAAAAAGGAGAGCTTCTCCCACCTCCCAAAACACAGTTGGAAATTGTTGGTTGCTTTTATTTTTGATTCATACCAGGAAGGCGATCGTCTGAGTGATGAAGACTTGTACAAGTTTCTTGCTGATATGAGAAGGCCATCTTCTGTTTTACGGAGGCTTAGATCCATCACAGGTATTTTCAGTGATCTTGCCAAAAACAAAACAAAAAAACCAAAACAAAAACAAAAAACAAAACCTGAAATCTTTTCTAGGTCAGTAGTTGTTGACACCTTGTCCACTTCCGTATAGGCCTGAGATTGGCTGCTAGGTTGGTTGTTCATCTCACATGTTTTATCAGAATGAAAGGATTATTTTGGAAGATTTGATGTAAACTAGGCCTGATACCAGTGAAGTGGTAGAACAGCAAAGAGGGAACAAGTAACAGGAGTAAAAGGCAGAAGAAGTAGCAGTTTATGAATTGTAGCGGTAGAAAAGTTGAGCTGAATTAAGGTGTTTATATACAAGGACTCGTAGGAGTCCTAGGCAATCAGAAGATTGAGACATCAGGGGTACGAAAGATCCTAGAAAGGCAGATGAATTTGGGGAACTTTATTGCTTCACACACTGTTTTTTGGACCTAAAGGATTCAGATTTCTCTCCCAAAGGTGTGGGTCAGATGGGCCTTGTGAAGCCTTCATAGTATTTATTTTGTTTATTTATTTGGGATATTTCTAGACTGTCCATCACTCTGCATCTCTGGATGGCTCACAGCAACTATTAGTACCAACTATTCTTTTCTTTAAGCAAGAAAGAACACTTCAGTTGGCATTTCTGAAATTGCGTGGTGTTATCTGGATAGGAATTACTAATATCTATGTTCCCTGTAGTTCTCTTGAAACATTCTTAATCTTTGAAATAAGTCCCAGCAATGATTGGCTCATAAGCTTATTTACCAGTTGGTCTTGTACAAACAGGATGTTGACCTAGGGAAGTTATTTTTCTTACCCTTTTAGTCTTGGCATCTAGCCTTGAGGAGTGATAAGCTTTCAAAACGGAGATTATCTGCTTCCTTAGACTTTGGAATTCTACCAGCTTCCTAAAAGGCAAGCCTCTAGGGCAGGGATGGGCAACTTGTAGCCTTCCACATGTTTTGGTTTCTATCACTGGCTTTGCTGCCTAGGGCTGACAGGAATTATAGGCCAAAACATCTGGAAGGCTTTAACTTGCCCACCCTTATAAAATACAGTGGTCGCATGCCCAAGAGTTTCAAGGCATCAAAAGGCAGGATAAACCAAGCCCCAATAAATACACTAGCAAATGTTCTTTTAGAATACGTAATTTTCAAAAGCACAAATTTTAAAGCTACCTTATTTTTAAAAAAGCTAAAATGAAAGTGCATAAACTTGTTTTCATAATTTGTTTACCCTTTGCTGATGCAGAGCCTTGTTAACCATCAGAAGTTGCATCATTTATAGCTTAGGTTTTAGGTTATAGTGAAGTGCCTTTGTGATTCAAGTATACAAAAATATATATCTTGATGCAAGTATATTGACTCTACTTGAGGAAAGTAAGCATAAAAACTCATTTCTAATTGCAAACACCAGACTTCAATCAATTGCCTTTTCCCTATCTCTTATTCCTCAATGGGGAAAGTTGACTAAGGTTTCCTGAACCATTATGAATTTTATTTCCATGAGTGTGGACATGGAAGTTAATTTTCATGGAAGTTAATTTCCTCAGGACATTGAATCCCATTAGTATTCTAATACTGGGTAAACAATGTGGGTTTACCCTGGGTAAAATTGGTTTTTCCACAATCTCAGAGATTCAAAAAACATTTTTTGTTGTCACTTAAAATGGTGCCATCAGAGAGTTAAATGAAAGGTGGCTGTCCAGTAGGACACATCAGTTGACAGCTGACCAACACTGCTCAGAGTCCCTGATCAGGTAAAATTCTAGACAAAGAAGAAAGCTGGCAGTTGCATTGACTTTATATTCTATTGGGCTTATTACTGAGAAAAATGGTTTGCCTTAAACAAACAGGACATTTGAATGCATTAATGTCACTGTAACTTATCTCTGCATACCTATAGAAAGAGATGTTAATAAGTGATTGCTAAAATGGGATGAAAGAACCTTTTTTTTTAAGCTTCCTTACCTGGTCACCTGGCAGTGAGTCTTGTTCATCACTGACAACCAGACAAGTGGACATTTGTAAGTTTGATCATACTACTTTTTCCTCCACATAGCTCAGTTGAAAATAGATATTTCTCCAGCCCCAGAGAACCCACATTACTGTCTAACTCCAGAGCTGCTTCAAGTGAAACTTTACCCTGATAGCAGAGTTCGACCAACAAGAGAGATCCTGGAGTTTTCTGCAAGGGATGTATATGTTCCAAACACAACATACAGGTAAGAATAAAAGGTGTATTTCAAAATAGTGCATGTGACCCTTCTTTATCCAGATGTAATTAATGAAGCAAATTACACAGCGCTTGGTGAGTGAGGATAATGATCCTTGCAGTAATTAGCTGATTGCTCAGCCACCAGAAAATTGAAGGGTGGTGATTCCAAGTTCCAGCATGCAAAACACAATGCCCTGCTATTTCATCTTCCCTCATTCAGATAAAAGTAGTGGAGAAACACAGGAAGGTGACACGTGGAAGATGTTTGAGGTTGGGACCCCTGTACAATTCTGGGGAAAAGGGTAGGAGGCCTGCAGAAATAAAATCTTATCTGAAAGTACTTTGAAGGGGAAACATTCAAATCCTTTGTTTGTTTGTATTGTTATTTATTATTTCATTGTATATATTGTCCTGTAGCTGAAGCTTTCAAGGTAGCATGCGCAGTAAAAACAAGTACAACAGAACCAATGATGAAACACATCAAAATAATTTTAAACATTTTATAAGCAGCAACAATACTTTAAAATAATGCATCATAATATTCTCTGGGTTTCATTTTCAGGTTCTATTGAAGCTGCTTTTAGTCCATATTCAGAACATAGGACATATTTATAACATAGTTAATATCGGAATGGTTACAGTCTGGTGGAAAAAATGTTTGTTTTTTTACTCATAACCTTTCTTTCTACCAAGAAAAACAGCATACAAATTAGATTTTCTCTCTTAGTTTCCAGTTCATATTTATAATAACCTTTTCCTAGGACTCTAATATTTGATCTATATTTTGATTCTATAATTTAGTGCTTAAAATTATAATCAACATCTTAACGACTAAATATAATTAAAGATTCTTCCATTTTTAGTCATCCTCCCTATTCCATTTTACCCTTTTATAATCCCCTCCTTGTGTGGCTGTGGCAAGTGCTATCTTGTACATGTTTACCTGCAAGTAGCCCCTCTGAAGTATCCTTGTACTTGATGGTCTTTTCTAGTTCCTCCTTGTTGCTCTTTCAAATCTTAGTCTTCTTTGAATTTCTTGGTTGCATTTGAACTGATGATTGGGCCATAGTATTGCCAGATCCTTCACAATTTCAGTTTCTTCAATGTTAACATTGAAGTTGTGTAATTCTGCTGTAGTTGTGAATTTTGTTCTCTTAATGTTCAGCCTTTGTACTGGGCCAAAAATAGGCTCATTCAATTAAGCTGAAGACTGACATTTCTGTCGTATTTGGTTTTACGTATGGATTCAAATTATTTAGATAGATAAAATATCGTAAGAGCTATCTTTGAAAAAACTGTATTTAGTAATCAGATATGAAAAGCTGAAACTTCCCTCTTTAAACCATGCCTCTTCTTCTGGGAGGGAGGGAGGCCAAATTTTTTGTATATCAAGGAGAAATGTAATCACCTTCAAAGCCAAATCAGAAAGAGTTTAGAAGGTAATTGGATGTCTCTTTTCAACTATGTATATTTTTAGGGATTAGGGTAGAGGGATAATAATTGTGGCCAGCCAAGCATCAGGGAATCAGCAATAAATCAAGGCAGGTAAAAGTATTAGCAAGGACATTGTGTTACCAAATCTGTGTTCTATAATTTGGATGCTAAAGATTTGGCGTTTGTTAGGAGAAGTGGTGGGCCATTGAAGGTAGGGAAAAAATCTAAAAACTATTGCTGCAGACACTAACGTAGATAATTAATTTGTATTATTGAAGAACAAAAATGTCCTGAGCAACCTTAGAAACATCAGTTTGCTAATGTTGTAATAATATCTAGATGGAGAATCACAAGAACAGAGAAATGATGTGCAGTAATGTGTTTGTTTATTTAGTAAATGTCATTGAGCCAAGTAGAGGATCAGCTTCAAAAGGTATGAAAGATTGTTTTCTCAGTGATGCAGTGGGTCATGTGAACACCAGAAGGCTCAGGACTGGATTTTTAAGATGTCAACATACTTTTTTTTCACAGTGCCCTGATTATATTTGAAATGATTCCAGAGGATGCATGGCAATATACGTGGCAGATGTTAATGTAACATTAATTATCACACTATGTGCAACGTGATATTTGCATAATATCAGTCTTGGTTTTTTCTTTTTAACCCAGCATCCTCTGATGTTATTTTGAGGTTCTAAGCATATTGATTCACTGTCCCCTACACACGCTTGCTTGCTATCTCTCTCTCTGTCTCTGTTTTTCACATGCGTGCGCGCACACACACACACACACACACACACAGAGAGAGAGAGAGAGAGAGAGAGAGAGACATTCTGTCCTACTAGTAATGCGATTTTGGAGCAGGCCATAAAAATCCTTAAATGTTGATGCTGTGCAATGTCAGTTCAGGAAATGAATACATTTTTGTTTGGTGGATCCTGTCCCCCTCTGGTGGGATCTTCTCTTGCTCTAATCTTACTCACATTTCTGTAGACTATGGAATACCTCAAAGGAGCATGCTGTTGGAAGTTGAGTGGTGTGCTGAGGATTTTCATAGCAGAGTCCCAAACTGGGAGTAATTTGTATTTCTTTTTGCTAGTAATATTCATGAGCAGCTATTAGTTTTTGCTGTGTTCCCAGCTTACACTGATGTATTATGTTTAATAGGAAATATTAGCTAGATATCAAACAATACTTCAAAGTATTGTTTATTGAATATTATCTTAGCACAATTACATTAACTATTCATTTCATTTCCTTCCGTCCTTCCTTCCTTCCTTCCTTCCTTCCTTCCTTCCTTCCTTACAATATTCATATACTGCTCCACGTTGGTTCTAGAGCAATGAACAGGACAAATTTAAAATATAATAAAAACAGTTCCTTAACCACATTAAATAACATTAGGACTGTGTTCCTGAAGTCATCTGAAAAGTATTTACTTGTCTTAGAGTTACGTTTATATCTGGCTAATCATGCAAAGAAATAAACATTGATATTGAAACCTTAATGGGCTCTTATGTTCACACATTAGAAACATAACATTAAAACAGTTGTAAACTACTCATTTAAACAGTGGATCGATTTGCTGATGCTGAGAAATAAGCTTAGCTACATTCACCCCAGTAAGCAAGTCCCATTGAACCAATCTTAGTGCTTTACAGCTGGATTTGGGGGGATTGCCAGCTTTCACAGAGTAGGAAGCTGTTTCATTAATGAACGTAAATGCAGATTTAAGCTGGCTTAATTGAATATTTGTTTTTGTGTATGGTATCTTCCAGATGGTTGTATTTGTTCACTTGATACAAAGCCACATCAAGCAAGGCTTTGGTTTCCTCAAAATCCCCAGTAGCCTGACTTTTTTCTGGAAGCCATGAGGAAAAAAGCCTTCTGATATTAATATGGTTCACTATAAAATGAGTTATACTCATATTAACTATGCAAATGAGACAGAGTCACAAGAATCATAACTCCTGCCATAAACAAAATTTGACACCTATTTTGAACAATTTCAGTTCTATGTGTAGGATGCTTAGAAAAAGTCACTTCATTTTTCTTTCAAGTTAGTATCTGGCAGACTGTTTTACTATGCGTATCTGTATGTTTTTACACTGTCACCAAGCATTATTCAAAACATTAAAAATCACATTGTTGCTTTATAATGAATTATCTACATTATTCATAATTGAAATATATGAAATAGTAAGCAAAAATGGGAGGCTGATGATGTGAAAGCAGTATCAGTCTGCCCCACTAAAAAAGTCGAAACAGCTACCACTACAAAAGAAATGTTTGCTGATAGGACAATGGGGAGGAGGTGATCAAGAGAGCCTAGTGTGTCTGTGCACTTTGTACTTAGTCACACACATCTCTGACCAACGGAATTCAGCCTTCCCAGTTTTCCTAGAAGAGTGAATGGCAGACATTCTTTATATAGAAGACTTTATGGTAGCTAGAGTGAGTGCACTGGAAGAAAATTGGATTTCCTGCCTCACCTGAACTTTATTTTGTACCATTTATTTTACTGGGAGCCCTTGACTGATCTAGGAAGAAGTAAACTTGCTGTAAAAAAGTTACAGTTGGAGTGCAGCAAAAGGCCCTTGTCTGTTCTCTTTCTTATGAGTGACTTCAGATTTCTAGCAGAGGGACAAGCTTTGCTCACTTTAAACTGTATCTCATATTGCATTTCTTACTTATTTAATAGACTTCTGTGAAAGACATTGGCTCATTAAGAAATGATAACATGTTCATCTGAATGGGGTGATTAGGAAAGGCAAAGCCAGGATCCCCAGTAACAGGTTTGATCTCTGTCCTGACCATGCCTAGAAAAGCAGTTGCTTGTTTTTGGCCACAAACGTGCATTGGCACCATTCTTCTAAAGTTACAGGCTGAACTGAGCAAACCAGATGGTATGATAGTGACCTGTTATCCTTGGCTGATCCTTTCTTGCTGCCCATACTGCAGGACAAAGTTTTGCTTCTGTGACATGTTTCTTTCAGTTGGCATGATTTTCTTTGTGTTCCTATAGCAAAGCCCAGTTCCCAGACAGGTCTGCCACTGAGAGAAAGGACACAAGTCATTTGCTAACATGATGTGCCAAGCCATTCAGTGAATATACTACGTGGTGTACCTGATCCTGGATTGTTCTCCCCTCCTTTCTGCTCTGTTCTTCAGCCGGTATTCAGTTGTTCTTTGCTAAACAGTTCATCTCACTTCCCACTATCCTGCTCCAATTGCTATCCCTTTTTCCTGCTTTTCCTCCCAGAATCTCAAAATTGCACTTGGGGTCATTTTAAAAAATTGTTTTTAAAATTAGTATTATCAATTTTGGTCTGCCACAAGTGCATTGTTATGGCTGTCCAATATCTTTACTGGTCAATCCATTATAGGTTTCATCTGTCAAAGGGAGCAGCAGAGAAGACCAAATAATATACATGGAAATTGATAAAGCCAGACTTTATATATGCTAAGTGATGCATAGTTGCTGAGGGTCAGTGGAAAACATGGTTAGACAATATTTCCTTTTAGCAATGTGCTCCTTTGGATTTGAACTATTGAATTGATACTTCACCTTTC